AAAACACCAAGCAATTCGTACGAATTTGGGTCGCAGTCGAAGCTTGTGAGAGACTCGTTCGTACGGTCACCAACTACTGCACAAGAAGGCTTTTCAAAGCTTATTAAAGGGGCTGAGGAGATGCTACATGAGAATGTGCTTATGAAGGCCCGCGTACGAGAGCTTGAAGAGCAACTAGCAGAGGTAACAAAGCGCCGAGGGCGTAAAAGAAAGCGGATTCAGACAGGCGGGACACTAGAATTTGGTGCAGGAGCATCGCAGGCAGCTGAAAGTGCTTCTACTAGTCGTATAATATCAAAGAAAGCGCGTGGTGGGGGTAGTCAAGAAAAGGCCCAGCCAGGTCAACGGCACTGTGGAATCTGTGGGAGAGTGGGCCATAACGCCCGTACGTGCCAAAAAGATGTAGAAGAAGATTCTATGTTAGATGCAAGTGAGTCGTACGAAGCATCTATAGCTAGTGTAGAGTAATTCAAGTTTTCATATGTGATGTTCGCGATGCCAAGAAAAAGTGGCACACTCGGTGGGGTGGCACTCTCGGTGGTGGAATACGTTATATATATATATATATATGGAGAATGAACCAGGCAGGGTGTTTGGAAAAGGCCAGAATCTCCTTGACCTTCATCGACATGCAATCACCAGTCGATTAGAGTAGAGCAGTGGTCCATTTTCCCAAAAAGTCGCTTGAGCAAATTCTTCACGCAACAAAAGTGTCCAGGCAAAGACGCAAAGCAACAAGGGCTGCATTAGAAATTACTTTGTTGATTCATTCTTGGTCGTTTTCTTTCATCTTGTTCATTGTTAATACTGTATTTTTTTTTTACATGTTCGCCTTGACTCCCTCTGGTAGAATGCGATCTTCGATCAAGCGCATCACCTTTATCGTTTGCTCGGCAAGCGTAAGCGTCAAAATCTACTCATACATGGATGGATTAGTCTTCTTCTCCCACCAAAGTTCAATCGTACAGGGGCATGCATACCGTATGTGGCAGAATTCGGGCCAAATGTGCAAAGTAGCCCTTGTACAGGGCAAACAAGCCCTCCGTCTTTATCGTGCGCGACAAACAATCAAAGGCCGACGAGTACAGGTTGCCCGTCTGATTGTACATGCGCGACATGATTGTATCCGGGGGATGCATGACGCAGCACACGACGAAGCCGCTGGCGGTGCTACTCGCAACGTGCAGCGGCATGCCCTCTTGCATACCAAGATGCTTGACCAGACGCCTCTTTACGAAAAAATACGTGGGAAGCTGGACAGAGCTGCCGAATCCCGTGCGGACCATGGCTGGGCCCACACCTCTGTAGAGGCCTTTTACGCCTTCTCCCCCATATATCTGCCGCATGCCGTCAAGAGCGTTGCGGTAATGGTGCTGTGTGCCTACGGGTAAAAAGGGCGAGTACGATTGCAGGCGGGTTTTAACGAGGAAAAAGGGCGACCCGGTAGCGGCACCAAGGATACCAGACGAGGCGCCGGCGAACAGGTTGATACCAAAGGATTGCACCGTGGGGTCGCTGTAGACGACGTTTGTGAGGGTTTTGCGTATTGGTTCGTAGAAGCCCAGACGACACCCGTTTAGAGTCATTTGGTACACGTACTGGGCGTGTGTCAGTGCCCGCGCCCTGTCGGTCGCAACTTGGAAGCCTTTGTAGACGTACTGCGCAGCCCAGCCCCCGGAGCAAGCCTCTAGGTCCTTCGTTCTTGAGAATGACGCTCACGCCGTGGAAGACTCCCTTGTATAACCGTGGCGCATCACTCTTGGCCTTCAGCTCGCCCTGTAATTGCAGTCTGCGCGAGCGGTCAACGTGCCTGTCGCGTAGGTGCTACCAAGTGTGTTTGCGCACCGGATCTTGACGGTTTCAAAGCCGTGGGTTACCGTCACAGCGCCGCATGCCGCCACGCCGCCGGCTATGAAGGAGCTGCACGAGTTAGCCTGGCGTTGTTGATACTGACCAAGCACAATTACCCAAGGGTTGTAGACATTGCCGTGCCAGTGTGGGCAAGCCCCACAAGATAGTCCGGAGGCAATGGGCTATGTTGCGCACTCGCTTCTCTTTCTCAATTGCTATGCCGGCGCCGCCAATTACCGTCCGAAACCGAGGAGAGACAGCAGAAGAGGAAGAAAGCGAAGGGGAAAAGGGGAGTGTGCAGGGCCGAGACGCGACGAGAGGGGGGGGCGGCGCGAGTGTTATACAGTCATTGCATGTGCCTTGTCAGGAGAAAGCAGGCGCACGGGGGGGCGGTGGATGGCCATGGTGAATAATCTCGCGGTCCGGTTTCGGCTCAGAGAGGGTCGGTTCAGAAACTACGCAAGCAGCAAGTGGGCGGGCGCCGGGACCCACTGGCTTCGCTCGCACCCGCACTCGCACCACGCTCGCTCTCACTCTCGCTCGCCGGCCGTCTCAGGGTCGCGTCGCGTCAGCCTCTCA